GAAAAATTGAAATCGCATCATATGACCCCTTTAATAATCATAAAAGGTAAGACAGAATACAGAATTATGAGATATAAACTCGGAATTCCAAGAAAGATGTCAGAATTCTGAGATTATATCTTGCAATTCTGACTTTTTTTTTCTCATAATTGTGACTTTATATCTTGCAATTCTGACTTTTTTCTCACAATTGCAAGAAAGAAAGTCCAAATTGTGAGATAAAAAGTCACAAATTAGCTTCTTTTTTTAACAAAACAACACTGAATGGACAAAAACACTGAAATTCTTCAAAATATCATCTTTTGTGCTCCGCAGACAAAAGAAAGTCATGTTTGGCACTATGAGGGTGAATAGATGATGACAGAATTTTCATTTTTTGGTGAACTATCCCTTTAATGCACTCAGTGACATGTAAGAAAATAATCTCTGCTGAAGACAAAAATAACAACACAACAACATATATTATCGACTGTGCTGCACAGAGAAAAAATGGCAGATGAGAATATGTCTGTCTGTCTTCCAGTCTCAAATTAGCCTGAGGGATACAAGCGCTCGTTCTGACACATGGAGACACACGTTATGTTTCAAACAGGCCCTGTCAGGGCACACTGACCCCTCGGCAGATGGTGCGTATCACATGTATCACCTCAGAATCATCAGCATGAGAGTTGTCACTATTAAGCCGACCCAGGCCCCTTGCCCTCGCCTCAAAATCCAGGTGTGAGGGTGACGAGACAGAAGCATCATTTCTGCAGGGTCATGGCCTTAAATCTGTACAGCTCTCGTCTCTAGAAGATCTGGTTCTGCACACAGCACACAAATATTATGCCGATTTCTCTCAGCACCTCCAGTCACAGCTAACAGCTGCTGATGAACGAGAAGTGACGGCTTGTGATGGCACTTCTCCATTAGAAAAACATAAGCAGCTGTTATTTCAAAAGGGGACGGTGGGCTTATTACCGTGATTTCCAGCGGGATTAGCTCTCCTGTTTGGCTGATTATTTTGCGTGGCTGAGATTCTGCAAGGAAGGTATGTGTTTTGTGTTGCTGACAGATAAAAGCATTTTCCTTTCACCAAGGTCAAGGGATAAAGGACAACATATGTCTTCCAGGAAATTATTATATCCGGTAAAGTCTGAGAAAAGCTATAAGCAAGTCAGTTTTATGTTGGCAAAAAGGGGCATGTTGTTTCAGAAGATGCGCAATGCTGAATTTGTCATTTTGTAATTTTGTGAGGGTAAATGTTACTCTGCAAGACCATTAAAGGAATAGATCACGCAAAAACGAAAATGCTGTAGCGTCTGGACCAATCAAAAACACAATTTTTCATTTGATTTAACTCATCTACTCACCCTTGTGTTGTTCAAAATGGCAGAAGGCAATATTTTCAGTGAATAACAATACTCAGTGAATAACATTTAATTTGGGAGCTTTCCTTTCATTCAAACCAGTAATCTAAGCATTGTGCTAAATGTCTCCTTTTGCGTTTAACAGAAAAAATTAATATTTCAAATGACATGATTTTGAAAAGATGATGACGAGGATGAGAAGATGATTAATTTTACACAGTTCGTGACAAGTGATGTTTGTTTGCGATCTTGCCACCTTTTTTTGTGCACAAGCTTTTCCATACACTACTTCTACTGCATTAGCTAACTGCTAGCAAATGGAAACATGCTGCTCTGAATGAGATGACTAATGTAAAAAATTGTGTTCTGTATGTACAGTAAGTGATAGCTAATAAAATTAACCAAATTAATGAAACAACTCAAATTTGATTGGCGGCCAGACATTAATCTGCAAATTGCTCTCTCATTCATTGTAGTGAATGCCTCATAGAGCACTAGAGCAATCTTAGACTTCTCTGAAGTAACCACATAAAAGCTGTTTGATTTGTTATGAAAAAATAATAGAGGAGAGGAAAATTCATTGTTGACTGTTAGCTATTTTCAAGTTAGCTTGTACTTTCAACCACTCTGAAGAAAATGAGATTGGTATAGCTGCTATAATGTATACATTGTTGAAAAAAGCTTCTAAAAAAGTATTTCTGTCAATATTTTTGAGAACATTTTCAGCTAAAATATCAAATATTAGCATTCACAACAGATTTAATATTTCCAATCATGATATTAAAGGAAAATTGTCATATTTACTGACCCTCATATACTTCCAAACCTGTATGACTTACTTCTATGAGAAAAAAGAAGATATTTTGAGGAATTGTTCAACTGTTTTTGTCCATTCAATAAAAGTAAAAGGAGTCCAAAACAACATTAAATGGATAAAAAACACGGACACATTCTTCAAAACATCTCTTTTTATATCTTGTATCTCTATGTTTGCTAGTTTGGCAAGCTTTCAGTGCCGCCTCTGTTTTGTCATCTTTCTCCCACTGACAATGAACTGAGAACTTGTGGTTACAGTTTAACATGTAAAACACCCTATACTCACCTAAATGAAGCCAAGACCACTTACATAAGAAAACTGATACTAACTTGGGAATTACTGAAGAAAAGCAATTATTAAAAAAAAAAAAAACAGGCTAATAACACTCCTGAGCATTTAGAGCAAAAGGCATCAGAGAACTAGTCCTAAGAGTGACTTGATAATGATAATTAAGGAGCTGTATTTTACGGGACTTTTTCCAAAGTAAATATCTGGCTAAATAATCAAACTATAAAGCAGGAAGAGGAAAACTGTACAGAGACACAAATATGGTCTTTCTGTTCATCCTCAGTTCACTCTAAATTTTAGCCTGAACTTTACTGTGTGTCAGATTCAAGCACAGAATCTTGAAATACCGCTGTCATAGTTTTCAACTCTCAATCCATGGATTTCATGTTTTTCAGTATGAGGTAAACCCTTCAATCACTGAAGACAGTGCGCAGACAGATCTCTCGGCTGACTCTGCTGCTTGTGTAATACCCTGAGCTTTAGTCAAATTTTCACCCCTGCTTCCTGCACTCTTCTGTTTCAGAATCAGAGCACATGGTGGTGGATCGTGCTGTCCTGGATAAGGAACAGCTGTTTGAATGAATCTTTAATGTTCACTCACGTCAGTGTTTGCCTCTGCCAGCTGTACATCCGTACCATCTTCTTCACAGTTTCAAGTGCCTATCATTCATTAGCCCACCACAGCTCGTTCTCATTTGCAGCCTGCTGTATGCATGTATGCATGTTTTGAAATCTGTCTTTGTTCACTAAAAGTATAGTGGAATATGCATCTCATGAAAATGGACTGTTAATGTCTAGAAGTGTAAAGCCTATTCAAACTGAAGGTTTTTTGAGGATTTGGAGTCTAGTGTTCTTACACGCATGATGCATTTGGCATATGCTTTTTTTTATCTATGCTTTTATTATAGGCAATCATATTCAACTGTAATGTGGTGTTTTGGGTTGTGTTTCTTGTTCATGTTTTCATGTCTTTTATTTTGGAGTTTAGTCATGGTCCCTGTTTGTGTCATGCTTCCCTTGCCCTCATGTATTCATGCCATTGGTTCTCTTGTTCATTGTGTCATGTTCTGATTGGTAGTCTTAGTCATGTGTCTTACTTATACATTTTGCTAATGTGTGTTCCCTTCTAATCAAACCCTGATCTTGGTGTTACTAGTATTTTAATAAGTAATAATAATAAATGCATTAAAGTTATATGTAAAAAAAAAGTCTTAATAATGGTTAGAAAAATCACAAATATTATTATGGTTTATTAAACAAATAATAATCATTATAATAATGAAGATAATAATATATATCTATGCTCCGGGTGTGTGTTCATGGTGCGTGTGTGTGTGTTCACTACTGTGTGTGTGCACTTGAATGGGTTAAATGCAGAGCACGAATTCCGAGAATGGGTCACCATACGTGGCCACACGTCACTTCACTTTTACTTTCACACACTTTGTAACGGTTTTGATGTGTTTATGTCGTCTGTGACCTAGTTTCTCCTCATGTGTCTTGATTTGATTTGTTTCACCTGCCCTTCATCAATTAAGCCCTTAACTGCTGTGTATTTATTCTGCCCTGTCTCTTTCTGATTTCCGGACTCAGAATGTTTGTGCTAGCATGAATGTGTAGATTTTGCCCTACTATTTGGATAATTAAAAGATACTGAACTCTTCTTCGTTGTCTTCTCTGGCTTTTGGATTATTACACCCATTATAGTGTGACACACACACAAAATTATACACAAAGCTATTTGTTCCACTTTTTATCTACCGCTAAGGAAATACTTAGCTGTTAAAGCACTTTTTATTTCTTTCGTTCTTTGATGCCTTTTCTGAACCAGGACTGCCACAAGGCCCCTCAAAAGAAAGAAGCAAAACTAACAGTCATTGTGTTAAACTTAATATTTCATCTTTTAGTTCACAGCATAATCTAAATTATTTTAGCAACTTCCTTTAAAAGGCAGGCTATAACCACATTTACTGCTAATGAATTGCTCCTGGTATTGAGTCATTTACTGCACCGTTGAACTTGATGCAAAGTTTTAAAATAATGCTCTAAGACGAAATCTCACAAAACTGCTTTTATGGACAAGTTAATGGCTGCTATAGATAGAGATTTCTTACTTTAATTCTAATACCTTATCTGGAAACCGCTGCATATCTGTAGAGTCCACCACTTAACCCGACCATGGAGTTTATAAAGTGAATCAGAATGAAGAGCCTCTTTTCGCTGCATTTACCTCTCTGTTACCTTTTAGCATAATTACTGCACCATGTTTAATGTCAGCTCAAATACCACACTAATCAGCATCAGAAAAGAGGTCAGACTGTCTTACAATTGTTGCTGGTGTTTGAAAGGATAAAAGCCTGTGCTTGATTCTGTATAACAGCAGATCCTCTGTTCTCTTCTCTCCCCTCCTTTTGTAAATAACAATGGCAGATTAAAGCAGGAAGGTTGTGGTGTGATTAACAGCAAATGCAGTCTGAACAAGTTTGGACTCCAATTCAAAAGAACAAAAAAAGCATGGACAAAAATGAAAATTAAACACAAATTACCTGCTTGCAGGACTCAGATGGGCTTGTAGGAACGAGCCTTGTGGTTTGAGAAGATGACGATCAGTGGATCCATAGAAAATGGCTTGTTATCTATGTGAAACAAAAAGAAGAGAAGAACATTGCTCATTTACTGTTGCTGTGACGAGTGAGTAAACATGAGCTACCAAATCCTCCCGTTGAGAATTCTATTTTCTGTTCTTTATTCATTGGAGGAGGCAGCCGTGGGTGCTCTGGAGAGTAGTGTATTATGGGATTCCATAGTGCTCAAACACAGAGGAGGCCTAATTGGCTCTCAGTGAATGGCCATAACCATATATCACAAACCCCATGCCTAAGCTAACAGCCAGCTGAACTATTACTGCTGCAGTTGCCTTTCCCTCATGTGCGCACGCTCGTATCCCAACTCATTCGGAGACAAATATTAACACAAACAACATGTTTACACAGGAGAAAGAGATGAACAGCTGCATTCACGAGTCACAGACACAAAAGCAAATTCACATTTGAACACACTCAGACATCTGTACACGGAATCTAATACGAACACAATGAGGAAAAAACACCCATGGCGGTTCATCGGTTGCTCTCTGGCTGTGAATTCACGCTGCCTGCACAGCAGACGGGTCCTCACATAATTTTATTAGCACTCAAGGGTAGGGGAAGAGGTGTCTGCAGGGAACACAGCCACTTCGAGAATATAGGATCTGACTAATGCCCTTTTATTTCTCTTAGTGTCTTTGTGTGTGTGAACATGTGTGTTGTAACCTTTGAAGTGCTTATATACTCGCTAGACTCCATCAATACACCCAGAGGATAACAATATTGCTCATTCACTTAATGGAAATCTACCATTTTAATTAAAATGTATAAATATTTCCACCCAATTCAACTCAAAAATTTAAAGCAGCAAGTAAACATTGTATCTAGTTGGCAGTACAAGTAATTTCAACTTTTTTTTAATGCAGACTTAGGTATCTTTGCCAATTTGAACACAATCTGAAATGTTGTTGAGTGAGTGAATCTCACCAGAGTAAGATTTATTTCATATTTTGCTGTCTATGAGAAACACTTGAGACATTAAAGCTCATTTTTTGACCTTTCTTTCCCATTAGAAAACAAAACAAGATTCTTATTTTGTAAGACACCTACTTTGATTCCAGTATGAATGTTTGTGACATTCTGGATGCAAAATATCTGATCCTCAAATCCATAAATCAGACAACACTAGACATTTATCTAATTCACCACTCAAAGATGTTGAATGTGATGTGCACACACAGTCTGTTCCTGCCCTGGTTTCCTAGGAAAAGAAGTCACAGATTAGGGCACAGGAAGAGAGAGCGAGAAGAAAAAAAAGGGGGGAAGAGACAGAAACACTCTTCTCTGACTCTCACAAGGAGGAGTGAATCCGTGGAGGGGGAAGAGAGAAAGAATGTCTGCTCATTATTCAGCCTGGCACTCGAGGCCACAGAAAATAGCTCTCTTCATTTTTTCTTGTCAAGCTGTGGCTCTGTTAATGGTGTGTTCTCAGTCAGTGGTGAGGCAAAAGGGTGGCTTTAGCCGGCACCAGTCATGTAGCGAGTCGGGAGAAGCACTACAACCCTTTTCGATGACCGCTTGCTCTGTCGGTCGCCACCCGCCCGCAAAGGACTTGAGATAAAACACCTTAAAGAAAGCTGGCCTCCTTTTAAAGGGGCTGCATTCCTCCACTGGAACTAAAAAAGCTTTCTGCCTTGAAGATCATCGCCAATTTTCCCTCTTTTCTTCAGTAAATCTTACCCTAAATTTCTGTGAAAAAGTACACTGTGGCAGGATAAACTGGGTAATAAGAAGAGCTGAAATCGCCATGTTACATAAAGAGAGTAAGACTGATTTATAAGCATTGCATGTTACTGTGTCCGGTCTTTCCTCCATTTGGCTCATGATTGGTCTAATTCAATGAGCTAATAAGCTGAGCAGCTATGGGCTTCATGTGCTCAGATGAAAGTGGACCGGCCATCATTATGCACATATATTACCACACCAGTGATGCATGGGAACTTGTCCATTTGCATGCATGGACAAGAAAGTGATGTAAAAATTCCAGTAAGAACTCATGGATTATGCATCTGTATTGACAAATACATTTTTATAACGGATTACCAACCATATGTAGAGCTTATAAGGAAAACGCTGTCTTACAAGTCATCTATATTTCTTGAATGAAGTCAGGACAGCCACGACAGAGTCCAGGGTTATGGGCACAATATCACATTCACCCTTCAGGTCATCACATCAGGTCATTGCATTGTGATGATCCCAGCAAAAACAAAATAAAAATAAATAAATAAATAAATCACTTATAATAAGTCACTTATGAGGTTCAATGTAATTTAGGACGCTGTCTTAGAATATAACTTCCATTGTGTGCAACAAGCGGCAAGACAGCACACTTTGTTTTGTAACAAAGTTCATGTATTTTTCTAGTCTGTGAAAAAAAATGTTTTATTTGTGGTCTTTCGATCTCTATATAACATATCGCTACAAGAAGTATATAAACCTCACACGCTGTATTCCTACATGCCAATCATAACAGAAACATACCCAACACGACCTTCCGGGTTTGATCTCAAAAAGAATACTTGCACATGTTAGCAGAAAAACACAACAACATATGTCGGCCTATAATATTTACATTTACATTTACATTTAGTCATTTAGCAGACGCTTTTATCCAAAGCGACTTACAAATGAGGACAATAAAAGCAGTCAAAACTAACAAAAGAGCAACACTATATAAGTGCAAATGACAAGTCTCGGTTAGCCTAACGCAGTACACGTAGCAAGGTGTATATAAATATATATATATACACCTTCACACACACTCACTCACTCACTCACTCACTACACACACAACACACACACACATATGCACACACACACAAACAAAGAAAAACAAGTAGATAGAATAGAAAGAATAGAAAGCTAGTGGTGTATAGCTATAATATAAATATAAAGATTGTTTATATAAATATAAAAAATATAATATAAAGCTATAATAGAGATTGAAGGATTCTATACAATAGCGGCGGTGAGAGTAAATGTGTGCCAGCACTGGGAAATAATGTCGTTGAGCTGATTGCTGAGAGGCACAGATAACCCTGAGCTGCAGGGTCAGAGTTCTTCATTTAAAGTGCTACTGCTGGCTCCACAGACGAGCCAAACTGTGAATAAGAGCATAAGAAGTGAGCTGTGATTTTAAACAATGACAGCTCATCCAGGTAAATGTACAGCACCTTCCCACCAACTAGGACATATAGCTGAACTTGCGAATGCGATAACGATGTGAAGAGAGTAACATATTTTTAAGACAAAGGAGAAAATAATGCTTATTTATTTTTCCTAAGGGAATTGGTGGATACTATGGATTTATATACTTCAGTGTGTGTGAGCTTATAATGATTTAATATATCAGTAAAACCTATTATAATTTAAGACAATAAATATAAGAGAGCAGGGAGCTGTCCGTGGTGCTGATCATTAAGCTACAATTTACAGTATGTCTCATTTACTGAGTATGTTCTGAATTAGTCTATTACTTTCTAAGTGATTAATAAAAAACATATAATGGCTATAGAAATTAATGAAATGATGAATATTTGACTTGTATGTAAGTGGATATGAAGAGCCATTCATTTTATTTAATTAATATTGTGATTTGAATAGAAGAGCTCTGTTCCAAAACATAGTGAGTTGCTGTCTAACACAGCATCTTAACCATCATGGAACCTCATAAGAGAGCAATTTGGAATGGCTCTGCACAGAAGACTCAACACACAATTGATTTTAATAAGAGTTATTAGTGATGTGATACACAAATATTGAAAGAATCCATTTTTACTTGCACTAAACTATGTTTTATTGGTGCTTTTTAGTTTAGAATGAAATACACTACTTTATTTTTTTAAGAAATTAATCATTTTATTCAGCAAGGATGCATTAAACTGATGAAAATTAAAGACATTTATACGGTTATAAAAGATTTATATTTCAAATAAATGCTACTCTTTTGAACTTTCTATTCATCAAAGGATCCTGAAAAAATGTATCATGCTTTCAAAACAAATGTTATTCAGTTTTCATCATTGATAGTAATAAAAAAAATATTACTTGAGCACCAAATCAGCATATTAGAATGATTTCAGAAGGATCATGTGACACTGAAGACTGCAGTAATGGCTGCTGAAAACTCAGCTTTTCCATCACAAAAATAAACTACATTTTAAAATGAATAAAATAGAAAATATTAGTTTTTAACGGTAATAACATTAATCAATACTGCTGTTTTACTGTATTTTTAATTAAATAAATGCAGCCTTGATGGGCATAAGAGACTTCTTTCAAATACATGAAACAGTCTTACAGACCACAAACTTTTAAACTTTTGGTCCGCCTTTCTCTTGGCTCATGTATTATCTTGGGTTTATGTTTTCACTGAGCATTCTGGGATTATGAAAGATGCATGTTATTGAATTTGGCTAAAACAAGCTATCTTAGGAGGTAACATTAAGTTGCTTTCCTTTTGGAACAGTCTATGCATCAGAAGTGCACCTACCGCATAATACCTAAAAATGCCTCAGGTTTTGAAAGAGAAAGTGTTCTTGATAGTCACTGACTTCAGGATATTTCCACATCAGGTTCAAGTACAATGTAGTCTATTTTTGAATCATGCTGCAGTACATAAAAAGTGCTTTCAATTCTCCTTACACTGTATAAAGTCTCACAATGAGTTCAAGAAGAGAAAAACTTGTGTGACTTGTTAGCAGAACAGTTCCCCTTCAGGAACTCGAGCTGCGTCGAAGTCGCTTTGGGAACGCCCCTGCGTGACCACGTTCTGAAGCACGTGTCAAATCAGTCCAATGGAGTAGCGAGACGTCACGAGCGGGGTGACGTAAGCACCAGAAAGTATAAAAGCGCATCCGGCAGAGCGCAAACCAGCTTCTGCTCTTCAGTAGCGCTAAATATATGTGTCTGTCTATTTACTGTTGTCTGTCCGCACAAGCATATATAAAAAACAATCATGAAAAAGTATATGGCGAGCGAACGGCATT